TAAGAGAAACCGTGGACAGCGAACGCGCAAAAGGCACCACCCCTAATATTAGAAGATAATCCGCACGCCGCGTCGCTCGCCGGACGTGTTAATTCAAATCGACCCCCGTGTTACCGGGGCGAATCCAATTTTCCCGAGGACGTCGCCGACAGGGCACACGGGTTACGTTCCCGCTCGTCTCATTGGCCCGGTTACTTCAATTTTCCCGATAATGATTGCGATAAGCTGGAAAGACTCCGCGCGACGCGCCTGGCTGCGTACCTGCACACAGGGGCTGCGCGACGAAGAAAATAGAATGGCACGGGGGTGGCGCGTCGTCACGATAATCGATGAAGAACGATGAGCTTGCAATGGCAACGGTGCGGCTGCCAGCATTCTTTCGTCCTACACGTGGCGCATTGTCGGATGACGTCTTTGTGCCCGAGGTACTGTGCGCAGGCGATGCTGTGAAATTAAACAAGGTCGCGCACTACTCCCAAAGGGGAGGCAAAAGTAGGGTACGTATGGGAGGAGTAGGCAGAAAGGAGGATACAAAACCGTGCTGAATGCGAGAGATCCGTCCTAAAATGACACGGGCGTGTTGTCATATGAATTGCGAGGCGAAAACGCGGCTTTAAGAGGGCGGCCTGTTGTCGCTTCGTTGCGATACGACAGCGAAACCTTGGCTTATCTGCGATTATCACCGGCCGAGAACAGTGACGTTCCTTCTACACTTTGCGAACACACTCGGGAAAGTAAGGAGACAGACGACAGTTCGACGAAAGACCTTCATTCTCCGTATAATGGTAGTGCTCCTTCGTATTGAGCCAAGTCGATAAGTAACTTGCACTACCTTTGAAGTTAACAAAGAAGTGTGGATGGATGGAAACTTTTCTTATCTTTAGTAATTTTTTTCATTTAATTTATTCGAACAACTTTTCTTTACTCCGTGAAATTCCCTTGATTTAATCAAGTAAACAAAAATTAATAAAATCAACGTACTCAGTAATTTTAATGATACAATCTGTAATAGATAATAATGAAACAAGAATAAATCGTAAACAATTCAAATGCGATGAAATCGTAAAGGATGAATTTCTTTTGTCTACTGTCATTAATAAGTCATTTATTCTCTTCAAAGAGTACCTTACATCCGACAGAAACATGTTGCATCTATAGTTGCACTTTTCCTATACCAGATGTTTACCAAGGTACCTTCTTCAAATATCATCATTGAACAAACTTTAATTCCCGGTTTTCTATCACCTCGGGTCGTCTAAATGAATAAATTATTTCGGATCTTTAAGCGTTGTGATTCATTGAAATTTAATCGCGACTCATAACGCCGGAATAACTTCGTGGTTTTGGCGAGCTGCGAGATCGAGGTGGAGGGGGCTCACGCCTATTTCCCGCGACCGCGTAGTTTAACGGGTTCTTTTTGGTAATAAATAAAGAAGCTGCTTAAAATGCAAATTAAATATCCGAAACGAAGTCGAAAATCGATATGTTTAACAATGAAGAAACTGCTCGCCGGAAGATTAATACACCTGTCCATAAGTCGCGTTCACACGACGATAAACATATCGCGATACGCGTATGATTGATACTAACAGTAAATTGTGTAGATGTAAAACGATGGAAGCATTCGAACAGCGCGGTAATCATTTTATATGCACTTATCCATGAAAATATTTCAAATATGGATGAAACCTATTAAAAGCATTCTACCTCCGATGCATTTTGTTCGATTTCAATGGAAATTCACGTAATTCACACATATACTGCATGTATTATACAAAAAAACTTTTCAAAATATCTAGCATATCGAAGATTGTGCATCCATTTCCATTCCATATTATATCTTAAATACTTTCGTGAACTAGTATATTTCAAAGAGTAATATTGAACAACGATCAATTTACAGTTATTGCAATCTATTAATCAAAAATTCAATGAGATTACAATTAAATACATTCTCCACTGATCGCAATTGTTAATTATAGTTAATATGTAAAAATGTAATCGTCAATTCTGAACAGTACTCAGCGAAATTCGAACAATTTTATTTCTCAAAACTTCCAAAAACATTCCAATGAAATGTTCGAAGAATGTGTTGCACTGAATATTAATCGTTATATATATATATATATATATATATATATATATATAAATAAATAATAAGTTAGAGTAACTTAAATGGTAACTCAATAGCGAATATTGTTAATGCATTTTATTTTCATCCAATGCCACTTGCAGTGCTTTTCGTATACCAGCAGTAGACAAAGTGCTAACAATAAATCAAAATACATTATTCATATGAAGACGATACGCGAGCTCGATATTTCCAACTAAAATACGTATAATCGGCAGACAAAGAAGGAAGATATTCATTTCATACCGGAATGCGAATTTCATACGCGTATTGTTCGTTCATAATTTCTGATACTAATTCACGTGCGTGTGTCTTTGCATGAAGGCTGCTTTAGAATATATCAAATAATGTGAAATATGCAAAACGGTCGGCTTACAAATTCATAATTCACTATGAAGCGCAACGCAATTCCTTCGTCCAACCGGCTGAATGAAACCGATTCCATTTTCCCCGGGTAACACCGTCAAAATACTTTTTCTCGTTTCGATCCTATAAAAGCCCTCTTGCTAGATTTTTGTATAAATATTCATCGACATTCCCTCTCGTACGTCGAGCCGAATGAAAAAGAATAAACGTGAATATAAGGTGTTTACGGAATTTCGCAGGAAACAACGAGCAAACAAACTGGTCGGCAGCTCCCCCCGTTTTATTCATATGTTTACGGGATTTGAAAGATCGGCATCGAATGAAACCGAGATTTTCGTACGCAAATGAGAATCCTGCTTTTCTACGTTAAAACAAACACACTCGGGCGTACATATAATGTGTTTAGGAAAAAGGATCGCAAATGCCAACGTATAAATATGTGTTTTGGGTTTGTAGATATGCATACGAGAAATTTGTGACATTTAGGTGTTTTATTCTTAGTAATTCGTGACTCACACTGTACCATTAATAAATAAATTCTTACAAAATTTCTATATATTTCTTATTAATTCACTGATCGATAACAATAGAAGAAATAAAATAAATATTTTATTACGATGAGATAAATTTCATTTTAAAACAGTTCTCGGTTAATCGTTGATACAGCAATCGATTAGGCGAGTTACTATACTTCGCGATTTAGGTTGTTTATATTCTCAGTTATTTAACAATTCAGTAATTTGAATTCTTCTATGTATTATACCTCAGGAAATATACGATAGAATTTTACAAACTTATTTTGAAGAGTTCCTTCTTAATTCTCCATCTGTCTGGAATGTCTGGTTATTTAAATCGAATAATCAAGATTCTAATTGTTCTCGTAATTGTTGTCGATTGGTGTACATTTCTTCTATCGGGACAGAGACTGGCGGTTTAACAGATGTTAAATGAAAGAATCTGCAAACAGATTGCTTCTTTATACGAACCAGCAATTAATCATTTGATTGGAAAACCACTTTCTATTGACTTCATAGATCCGCGATATCGAATAATGACCGGTGAAGTAACCAATACAACGAATAATTGGGTGCCACTGAGAATCAATTAGAATAATTTCGAGTAGTTTAAATCCAGAATTAATCGACCTCTAAAGTCGCTTTGTCTGTCCGCTTAATTACAGTTCCATTTTATTCCCACCATAATGATAACTCATCGTAAATCCTTCGAAGTTAAGCACCGCGTTTAATTATTAATTCTGTACACTCGGTCGCCAAGTTGTTTTGCTCAGGCGTTTCAAGGGGTGTTTGTCGTGAGAAAACTATTGTATTGCCACAACGTATTTACTTCTTTTTATAAAAATTTACGTGTTGTGCATATTTCGATTGTTTCGTTCACTCGTTTGACACGTTTCTTATTGGGAAAGGTAATTCCTCTTCTTTTAACTACAGAGATACTTATTGTACGAAAGTTGGTACGAAATATAATTACTTAAATTTTGAATATAATATTTATTTAATTCTATTATGAGAAAATACTGTGTCAATTTTGTATGACAGCCTTGAAAATAGTGGACTTTAAAAAATGTAATGTTTTTCAGTAAATAATTTTAAAGAGAAAAAGAGAAAAAATATTGTAAATTTTTGCAAAGAAATTGTTGCGATTACAACATATGTTTGTTAATTTTCGATTACAACGTATTTCTGTACTGTTAAATTACCTAATTGTTAAGAAATATTTGATTACCATTATTATTGCAAAAACTTTTTGAAGCACTCTCGCGCTAATTGAAACTCTCATTCTAATCAAACATTCGAAAACAGCAGAAGGTTAATAATGTACAATACAATATCGTAAAACGGTATTATTATTTTCTTTCTGCGGTGCAATAACAGGTAGATAATAAAAAGTAACAAAGAGAGAAGTATAGAACCCAATGAATCCTTAGTGAAGCCAAGGAAGGCTCATGTGAAAAATGACCATTGGGAGAAATCCGGAGCTGAAAGCATTGTAGGAACCCTTATCGCTTCTATGATCGCAGTTACATCTTGAGTCAATTACTCGTTATTCTGATTGCTGATGGTGAGATACGTCATACGTTCCATTTTTACCGTAATTGTTTCTCACTTATCACAGTCAACGTACTTCACCGTTATTTTATTACTTGTTTTTAATATAAATTTGTACTAATATGCAATTACAAATTATTATATAGATATAAGCATTTGGAAATTAGTATACAAGAATTAGAATTAAATAAAAATGTGATTTTTCTATTAAAAATTCTATCAAAGTTAAAGTAAGAAATAAAAACAAGAATGAAAATGTTTCATTAGATTATTTATTACAGATTATTAACATCATTTACAGTTCACATTGATTGATCAAAAAAGATTCTGATTGCCGTCATGAAGACAATCAAAAAATTAAAATATATCAATGTAATATGTATGCAGCAACACATCACGGTGAGTGTAAATCATTTAAAATATAAAACAAGCACAAATAATTTGCATCGATGAATCAAGAGTACATTTTTACTATTTGAACATCTGTACCTGTCAATGTAAGTGGTCCCGCCGAATTACTTAACACCGTCCGCTCAAAAATTAATTGCTCCTTTTTGAAACTTTAATGATCGACTTTTTAACTTCCAATAGATCGGCTGCAGAACTGTTTGGCTCGACTTTTCAAGGCAAGGGAATCTGGAAGAAAGGAAACGAAGACTGCAAAAGATCCAATGTTGAGATGTTTTCAGGACGAGTCAGCGCCAGATAAAACCATACACTTTCAGCATTATGAATGGTTTATTGAAGTCTAAATGGAAATAAGTAATAATAAACAATGGATCCACTTAGCTTTATTAGAAAATTCATTTTTATCTATTTTTACACTGACGTAGCAGGGACAATGAATATCTGAAAACTACGAAGAGGAATTCACAAAATAATCAGCTAACTCAGTAAATTAATTAAATGTATGGAACAATTTTATTACCTGTTTAATTAAATTTTAATCAAATATCAAATAAGAACATTGAGCTTCCTCTCAAATAAATATTTAAAATGCCCACAAATTTCAGCATTTCGGTGATTCTGACCTGTTCCCATGCACAAAAACCTCAATTTCCTCCAATCAATTGATTCCACCGTAAAACAAAAAATATCTGTCCAGAATTACCGGCGATCGATTTTCGTTTATTCATTAATTTAGCGGAAACATATGAAACCAATTTTCCAAGCGATTCACAAACTAAATGATCGCAAAAACCACATTCCAAAAGTTCATTCCACCGGAGGGATATTAATTTTTATTATGTAGGAGATGAACGGTCGCGAGTTGTGCGCGGCTAGGTTAATAGAAATAATTATGATTAAATAAAACGGTAGCGAAACAAGAAATACTCGAACAAATTCTCCTCGAGGCGAAATGACAATTTCACGTGCGCCCAAACCTAATATTTACGAGCCGGTCCAATATTAACCAGGAAAGTTTGCACATGTCCATGGGTTCAGTCGTTGCTGTAGCTGTGGCCGCACTAAATCAAAGAAATTGAAGATCGCCCTCGGACCGTCCCGCTTCGTCCGGGTAAAATGCGCACGAAAATTTTCTCAAGTTTCCACCCGCTCTCCAGTTGTTATAACACATGTCTCCGAGAACTGTCGGCAATAAGCGTCGCAGAAATAGCTCGTACGCGTGCCACGTTGATTTTTTGTCGTTGCTCAGCCCGGGGGATTTCCTAAGAATTCGCGATTGGGTGGCGGATGCTTAACCAACTCTGTAATTTGAGATTTATACCACTCTTTTTTAGAAACGAAGAGAAACATTTGTACGAAACTTGTTATAGTTTAAAATTTAAACAAAGGTTGGAGTCAGAAGAAAATGTTACATAGTAGATCAAAATTAAATGCTTTTCCATAATGCATGATGATGATGATGACGAGATGATGATAATGATGATAATGATGATGATAACGATGATGATAATGATGATGATGATGACGATGATGATAATGATGATAATAATGATGATGATGACGATGATGATGATGAATAATTATCGAAAAGCGTGTATTTCATTATATAAAGTAGCTTTTTTCCGAAAAATAATTAATTACTTCTTAACTTATCTTGGATGATCGTAACGAAGGATTTGTATGTCCAGTCCGCCCCTCGCATAGTCGTTTATTGCAGGGTAGATTTACCTACTCAACAACGAGCTCTTCCTCTTTATGTAGGCGTCGCGTAATTGTTGCAAGATACTTAGGCGTTCATGGTGCACGGTGTCGCGGAAGAATGGGCCATAGAAATGCTAACAAGACTAGCAACCCGATCGCGTAACATACACGCGTTGCGTTAGCGTAACTCGAATAGGGAAAACGGTATTTCTCGCGCGAGGTGAATACTCCGGAGACATTTTCAAGAAAACCCGCTACCCAGTTGGACGAGCCAAGATGTTTTCACAGCTTGACAATCTTTCGAGATTTTCTCTTAATAAGGGATACATTGTTAACGGAAACTCGGTTCACCGGTTCTCAAATAGTTCCTTTCATCACTTCGTTACTTCCTCCGGGAGAACAATCAGTGAAACGTTGTACGTTGCAAAGGGATTTCGAAGAATTACTAACCGTGAGATGTGCAATTGAAAGAAAAAATGTTACATTGTCCAATGTGTGAAGGCGTCCTTTCAAACGGACTTGAACATATCGAAACGCCATTTTGTAGGAGAACAAACGAATGTATGATATAATTGAATACGGAACCATGTAGTACATACAATTCAATGAAAATTGTAGAAATTAAAGAGAGTTAGAATTGAGAGAATATTAAAAAGGTTAGAATTTTTTTTAAAATCTCGTGTCGAATAATCTGGATTCTGGAAGTAAAATTGAAAACCACTGAATTGCCTACATCTAAAGCTTTTTGGAAAAGGAAAGTGAATTTCTATTTCTTTTCATTGTAAATAACTGTCTGCCACCGTTAATTCCTTTTTCTTCTATAATGTTACATTAAATAAATACTTCATAATGAAATCTGTATAATTATCATTAGATAGGTATGTATATCTTTAACAGCAAATACAGTGAAATATTAATATGTTTCAACAACGACTTCTAACAAATTGTTACCTTACATACATGTAAAGCCTATTTTTTCTTCATCTAATTATAGCAAGGAACATGGTAGCGCGACGGTAACGTCCATAAAACAATGGGCGCGATTATTAAGTGGATTAATAATCAGGGAAAACTCGGAGACCCGAATTTCTATTTCTGCTCGCAACAAAGCTCAGGCAAATACAGAATAACAACAATTAGCGCTATTAGATTCTGATTATCATCATTAAGGGTTGTGTATAGGTTCGCTGATTACATGCGAAATTTAACTACTTAAACGCGCCTAAACCGAGTTATGTTATATCGATGCTGTACAATTGATTTAATTCTGGTATTTCGACCGCTTAATATAACATCCAACCGTTTTGCATGTAACGCCACTAAGCCAATAAATATTATTATCGTAAACAAATTTCTATCGCACAATCATATTTATTATTATCGTCAGCATTGAATGTCATTCATAACCTTTTACGATTTTCGATTATATGTTAATTTACGATAGAATAATACTACATCGTCGTTGATGTATCTGATCTAATTTCTATACACCGACAACTCTGACACAATGTAATATTAAAAAGGAAACTGTCCTGGTAAACGAATAAAATGTTCTAAATACGATAATGAAATATTCTTTATTGTATATTGAACGTTCAAACACTATTGACGTTCACAATAATAGCATTGCTCAATGAAACATCTATTCTCGGAAACGACTCCCGCACATCAAGCAAATTATCCGTTCGCGTGCAAAGATCGTCCGTTCCGGAAGAAAAGTCTCCTGAGAGATAGAAAAAGCTTGAAGGGTAGGAAAACGCGAGCGTGCCGTCACGATATTTCCCGTGGATCATCTATAATTTGATTGAAATCACAGTCCGATACACGAACATGGTGTTTCAAGTAAATTGAACAATCGAAAGGTCTCTCCTACGCGGAAATGTAAACTTTCTTTTTATTTCTATTTATTATATCGAATCATTTTATGAATAATGCAGAATTTGTACACCTCTTTTATTGTTCAAAATTAAGATAAACAAAAGCTCTTTTCACACGTGTCACGCAGTGATGCCACGTAACCCGAATTCGGGTGATAGCGTTTTTCACATAGACTGAAACATTCATTTTCTTGGTGAGGTATCGAACGAACCGAACTTTTTGAATGTTTGAGATATAAAGAATGTGGTACAGCAGTTTTGATGAGCGTTTACTTGGTCAAAAGTGTCAATAGAAAATATATTTTGCTTCATTAGCTAAATATAAATAATGAAGGAGAATATATAGCTTGTTTGTTTATATTTCTTTTAAAATTATTATAAATATGATTTCTGCTTGACAAAATTTTGACTCACTTGAATGAGTGAATTGAGCAATGTGTTTAGTATAAACTTAAGGGGGATTTCTTTTTTTCTTGGTAAAAAATGTCGATACTTTAAGATTTTTTATAAACAAAAGTATAACATTAATTAATTTGAAACTTTGTATATGTGTTTGCTGTACTTTCATTATGTTACATAAATTTTTTCAGTTCAGTTCACTTAAAACTACAGTTTGAATTGCCCGTGAACTAGGACGGTCCGGACAATTGCTTCATTAACGGTTAACACGATATCTGCCCTCCAATTCATATGAAATCAAAAATTCTAATATTTTTTTTTATTCATTGTTGATAAAACGATAACTATATGTGTATAAAATAAAATCTCATTTTTCGAGAAGTGGTAACTGTTTAAACTTAGATGTTCGATTTTTCGCAAAAAATTACTCGAACTTTTGATAATTAAAAAAAATATATATATATCTTATCGTCTTGCCAGTAAATCAAACGACAGAAGGTTCTTGTCTTAACATACAGTTAAAATTTCAAGTTGATTGATCCAATACTTTTTTTTAAATCATGTCAACCAGCTACGAAGAAGTGGTTTCGAGAAAAACGCGTTTAAAGTTTGTAGTGCCATTATTGAACAAGTATCAGGTATTTACAATTAATCAGCTCTTCCAGGTCTGTATATTATTCCTTCCTCTTGCTCGTCGAATCGATTTTTTACTAAATTTGCTATTCTAGCCTCTGAGCTAGACTTGTTTTGTTGATTCAAGGTTTCGTCTCGCCGATCTTTGTAATCGCCATTCGTCCCTAGTAGTAGCGAAACTTTTACATTAATCTCTAATGACGATACCAATATCATCTATGATTTTTAAAATTTCATAGCAGCCTTCATTAAAAATGCCTACCTATAAATAATGAAATCTCAATTATTTTTAGACCACAATGAAGGTGTTTGGGAGCAAGTCGCCAGAGCGTCGAATTGAAACTCTCATTGTTATTTTGAGAGATAAATCTTCATAAAGTGATTTTACTTCTTTTGCAACGCCTTCATCAAGTGGTGACTCGTGATTAAATTCTTTAAGAGTACCCTCAGCTTCAGCTTTATGCCACTTACACCAACTATCAGACCCCCTTGGATAGTACATGTGATTCGGATATTTATCTGCAGATATTTTATGATAATATATAATAGAATCTGAATGTCTTCTAATAGCTAAACCATAATACAATGTTAATTTTTTAATTAATTCATTAGTTAATTTTTTTTCCTTCCAGTTTCTCGGTCTTCTTTATGTTTCTTAGCCGCGATCCCATACGTTTTTCTACTTGACCTACACATTCCCTTTTTTAAATATAAAATCAAATTATGCTAATGTCACTGCAAATAAATTTGAACTTGACTGTCAAAGAACTACGACTGCAATAAAATAAACGTTTTACAAGAGTACCATGGATTCTGGGAGTCGCGATTATTGATCACTTGCCGCCAAATATATACCTTCCTTCAAAAGTCCATAACTTTGACAGTTTTATGAATTGTAACTTAAAATTTTGCAGAAACATTCCTACAAAAGTTAAACTACAAGATTCTGTAAAAAAACAAAAAATCGATTTTTTGACCAAAAAAAAGAGAATCCCGCTTTAAACAAAAGGAAAGAGAAAAACTGATAAACCGATTAATCGGACAATATAAGCATCGATAGAAAGTTAAATGGACGAAAGGAAATATAAAAATTTTCAATGAAATTTTCAAACCAGTTATTTGACCGGTCGCAGTGCGTTTAGTGTTAAGAGGTTAATTAAACCTGCATGGTAATCTGGTGGATGCGAGCACAGGTGATCTAACAGACATTAAATTAGAAACTGTCAAACTGGTGCAAAGAGGAATGGCTTATCGTTGCAAAACCGAAACGGATTCCCACACTCGACCAGCCTTCTGATTAAGAAGGATCGTGTACCATGTACGAGCCCCGGCACGCTTTGCAGAGCATCAATTGTCATGTGGGGCACAATTCCCGAGAAGCAACAGGAAGAGGAACTACGCTTTAAAGCTACTTTGATTACGATTCCGAAACTCTAGATCCTCCCGTGGGTTTCGAGTCTGTCACTAGTCTAGAACGAGTAGTCACCGTAATCTCTACGAGCCTCGACTTCCTTTTACCCGACATCCACCACTCTACCTTCACATTGCAACCCTCCGGTTTTGACGTGCTTCAATAATGCGCGGTGTTACAAGAGTTTAACATATTCTTTGCCGATTTATCAGACAGCGTGCATCCGGTACCGCTGTATTTTTAGTTAATAGGTTAAGTGCCATGTCAGTCACTGATGACTGAAGGTTCGGAATTACTTGACAACAATCGTAACATGCGAGATAACCGATGTACAATGAAAATGTTTGATAACGTAACTAAGTTGATAATACTGTAATGCAAGGATTCTAACATCAAATAACTAATAATTGTTCCTGCTACTCTTTGTTACAAAAGAATAAGTCTACAGAAAAATGGTCAAGATTTTCGTGGCGTTTAACGTGTTAACCCCTCGTCATATACTGACGAGTAAGATTCGCAATGAAGATTTTCTGTTGTTATTTGTTCCGTATAAGTTTTCAGTTTGAAACTATTATTCCGTTATGAATACTTTCTTTTCGACTTGTCAATTTCTTTTTACAAAGAACCAACTCGGTACCAATAATTTGAACAACGGGTACATTGAGGCGTAAAGTCAGAGCGTCAGTGAATGAAATTTCGTAGAACTAGCAATATCTATATGCTGTCAGCTTTTCTCGTAATACAATAACAGTTCGCGACGGTTCTCGATAAAAGCGATACGTAGGTCCAAGGACTGCAACTTTTCGAGCTGGACACTTGGTTTTCTCCGGACCGCCACTCAAACGCGGCAACGGCTTCGCAGGAGTTTGATTAAAAATAACAGTAGACTACCGTCCGCCCGGCCTGACCTTAAATAGCCGCATAACGTGCGACGGAGATTAAACTGCAGCCATGCAGCGGCCCACAGATAATACCGTTCGCGATCTATTGCGTGAACATTTCGCAAACTAATACCGAGCGATTCAAGAGCCGCTTGATGATGTTCCAGGCGCGTTAATTGACTGACGATGTTGCCTGGCGTCACTGGGTTAGTTTCAAATCTTGATAAAGAGACGTTGTTGCATTCTAAATGAAACGTTCAAGGACCGGGGCAAGGATTTAGCGTCAGACGAGTCACTTTATTGCGCGATAATTCGAAAGAAATCGAAGTGGGCTTGATCAATCTCTATAACGAATGAATATTTGGAACGTTACTTCGTTTTACGGCCTTTGAAACATTGAAAACTCGAATCGACTGATTTGTAATTTCTTATCAAAATTACAAATAAATGAATTGACGATGGAAAGGATAAATACAGCTTATGATTGCTCGAATTAATATGAATAAACAAGTTCGAAGATATTGTATTGTCCAGTAAATAAAATATAAAAAGATCTACATAAAAACCAGGAGTGAAAAGAAATTCATTTCATTAACTATGAAACTTGACACTAAATCTACCCGAAGTTTAATATATCTGTAATCCTTCTAAACATTGTAATAATAGATATTTTTCTGTTTCTTCGTGTATTGATTATAGTATTGAAGTGAAACTATTTATTTTTCAGATTATTTCGGATACTCAGCACTTTGAAGATATCAATAGTTGCGAAGAAAATTGAAACCTAACATTTTGACGGGTGCAGTGGGTCTGGTGTTAAAGTAAGTTTCCGTTCTGTACTATTCCAATACTTTGCATGTATCACAAACATACGGAGATTTCAAAAAAATAATACTTGAAACTACATTTTCATTCAAGGATACGGAAAACTCGATTCTTTCGCATAGTTTATTTTCACGTTTCAAAGTTTCGTCACAGTCGTCACTCTCTCAGTCTTCTCGCATCTCGTATATTTCGAATGACATGTTTCAATCAATATTCTACCTTTAAAATAAATTCTCAAGCTTCGACAAAGAATCTTGCCACGAACCTACGACCGTAGCGACAATCGAAGTTTTACTTGTCTCAAATGAGAAAAATGATTAAAAATTGTCAAGTGGTTTTCAAAAAATGTCCCCTGAAGAGTATATTCGTATCTCCGGATCCAAAGCGGAAAGCTTTGAAAGAAAGAAATGAATTTCTATATCCGATTAATAAGAATATGTTATAAATTATTCCAATAAAGTTTGATTAAATATAATGATTCAACGCTATACGTATGCATACTATACCTATGTAAAACCGAAACATAAAATACGTAAAAATTTCTTATTTCCTAAAATTTGTAATATTTACACAATAGGACAGTGAATTTTCACAAACAAATTATACTGAAGATTTACAACGTAAAAGTGATATAAAATTTATAATGAAATTCAGAGTTGTACAACTTCCCATTGAATTTTATAGAATCAAAAATAAAATTTTATTTGACTTCAGCAAACAATTATATAAATTATAGTATAAATTTTCGTACGTTACGTACAAAGGTACGTATGTAAAGATATATTTGATAACAAAATTGAATAACAAATCAAAATTATATTTGATAACAGAATTGTGACAGAAGTGAAAATATGAAAAATAACACACACATGTCATTTCTGTTAGTTAGTATACGAATATCTATGCACTTAATTGTGTAGAATAAAATGTTTGTCGCAATAAAATTTCAAATAACTTTTATATCGCAACGATCGTGACAAATATTTCGAAAATAGTAATCCTCGGTTCAAGAAAAACTATAAACCGCGCAATAAATATGGTGGATACGCAATTTCTTATTTTAAGCCATAACTTTCAATTTCACCATTTATGGAATACTTGTGCACTTTAAAACGCGAGCAGTCCGAGTATTCGAATAAATTGATTACTCGAGCCTCCTACTCTTCTACTACTTCGAATAACCCAGACTTTACTATGTTAGCATTAAAAGCTGAAAACGCAGCAGAAGTTATTAATTTATGCGTCTATATATTGAAAGGCATTTTTGTTGTCCTGTTTGCTTCTACGGGTTCTGATAGTCCAAACTAATCTAGAACAAGATTGCGCTTTTGCCGTTTCGAATTGAAATCTTTCACTCGAATAAATCATTTTAATTGACTGAAGCGACCTTAAATGAAATAATAATAGCAATTATTAAGCCATTTTGCCTAATGCGATCTAATTAACTCTTTCTTCTAATATGCAGACGCTGAGAAATCTATTAGTAGAGTGTAAACGAAATTAAGTAACCTGAAAATTTGATTTGAAGCCATTTCGTTTACGGACGGTTCGCCAACGATGCCATCTTGATTGATGAATCAGATTCCAGCGTCCCGAGTTTTACGATCGAACGTTGTCCGTCAAAACCAACCGTGTTCAACATTAATCACGATATAACTCGAACGTCGGCACGTACATTCCTTATGTAAGCATTTAAATTAAACTAACCACTTCCTGCCAATTTAAATTTACTATGTGACAGTGACGGATTAATTATTATCCCGAGCGTAGTTATGCGAATATTTCGCAGCCAGTAACAAAAAGCTCACGGAAATTGTTTTCGTAATTGCACCGAAATGCTTCGGCCCCGGCAAGAACATATAAAATTGAAACGATTCATTTGCCCACAACTTTACCGCCTTGCATATAATATACTTCGTGCATTTCCATTCTGACACACGCAACAAATTCATTCAATTATTATTCAAATATTAATTATACTTAATAGCTTATATAAAATCTTGATTGTTCGACGATTTTTAGAGCTTGGAGGTATTACACTAAATTTTGTATGAAATGGGGAAAAATTATCATTGAAAATATGAAGAAGTAAAAAATATTTCATTACTTATTTTATGAGCGATGATCCTCGTTTCTTTTTATAAAATGTATAGGAATCAGTATTTGTATAATTTAAATGAATTACGCATTTTAGAATACAAATGTATTTGTATGAAAATGACAATTATAAAATATTAAATTACAATTTACTTTTTCTTCCTGGCTATGATCCCATAAGTAGAAAAATATTTCTATTTAATAGCAGTCATAGATTATTTTATATTAGTATATTTTTCAAATATTAACAAAATAACACAATTAAACAAATGACATGTATTCGTCAACAATTTCTGGACGATAAATTCTTACCGTCACGTGCGAACTGCTATATCGCTTTTAACAGTAAGCATATTTGTGAATATACTTGAATATATAACACAGTAAATGGGTTGGAAACAATATCGAAATTGCGACAGCTTGCAGTTGTAACGTTAACGACACGATAAATTATGTAGGAATGTTAACGCCTGTGTTATGACATTGAACATTGAATATGGATCACGCCAGAACAGAATTAATTTATACGGAGAATAAAATCAAATAGTGATTAAGCTGACTATGTAACTGAATAGCCAAATTTCACATTACGCTGAACGCATTCAGTAATTATATTTCGAGTAGCAAGGAATTTACAAACGTATATACGTGATTATTAATAATTATTGAGTATTGATAACGTAATGCAACGAAACCTAGTCCGTAAAGACTAATTTGTAATTACGCGTTTGTACATTAGAATAAATAAGACTGTAATTTTTGTAAAATTTATCATGTCGAACACCAATTCGAAATCACAATTGCTTTGTCACCCACAATTTTTGAAAACTATAAACTTCCGTCAATAAATTATTAATCTCGGTTTAGCAAGCTTTGCAAATCGGATATTTATTGCTCTTTATTCCCTTACAGAGATTACATCTCTGTAGAGCGCTCTGTGCTAAGGAACGATCCGTTTTGATTTATCGATAATTTCACTTTGTCGAATTGTTTTCATTTGTCGAATTTCTCGTTTCCGCAGGTTCCCTCGCACGCGAACAATTGCTCTATCGTCGTGAAGCTGTTGTGTCACCTTCTTTGGGTCACGAAAAGAAAAAGAAGGAAGAAGTAATGAAATAAAGGAGGAAAGAAAGAGTGGTATAGAGAATGTCTCCGATGAAATTACGTATCAAGTCACAGAAAAGAAAGGAATCGATCAAACGCAACGACACACAGGCGGAACACTATTGTCGTAGCGACGTTTATTTGCGACAAAGGTATCGATCATTTGCTTAATGGATGAGCGAGATATTCTCTGTTTGCCTTCATCTACAAACATCTTGAAATCTTCGGTCCCTTCGAACGTTGATACCGTCCGTACGTGTCTGTACGGTTTAAACGGTCGATCAATCGCGAATGCGTGCGCGCACATTGCTTCGAACAATGAAACGCGCGTTTGTTTATAAATGTATGTCAACGAAACACCGTGTAAATAACTCTTCTCTGGCTTTGCAATTCGTGAAATAGGCAAATACAGTAACAAATTCATTGTTTCCTCGGTCTTTTGTTTGTCGAAGATTCAGTGGAATTGGAAAGTTACGTTCTTCAGTGATTTATTTCTATTATTTCACTCGTGATCACTATTATTAATGAATATTATACATTGAAGAACATTAAGAGACTTTGGAACTCTTAAATACTAATGTTGGATTTCGAAATAGAAGAAAATTTTCAAGAGAACCTCGGCGCAGAAGCATGTCAAATCGCGTGCTTTCGACGACGTTATTAGGATTATTTCAAGAATTCGTAATGAATTGTATAACAAGAAAATTCTAAAGAACCAGGAAATCTGATTAAAATGTATATATTTGGTAAAAGAGACACACATGGTCAGTTGATTATGTTCACAATGATACTAAGCTATTATCTCTGCTTCATTAAATCTACAGTTTTGAGATACGTCACAATTCAATGACATTTTCATTGAAGGTAAATCTTAAAAAAATAATGAATCAAATTTATCAACAGTACACTACATATGTATAATAAAATATAAATTTACAATATTAATGAGCTTATGGTCAGAGTTAGACAAATATACTTCAGAGTGTGAAGCTACAAGAGTAAATACACAAATTTGTAAAATTTCCAAACTGCGAGACAATTGGACACAATTACTTCCCATCGCGATGCTTTTAGAAGTTACTGTACAGCGAAAAATCTGCTCAGTTGAGAGCGAAGCGATGCAAAAATTCTTATCGTGTGTTTTTAAACGATTTTCAGGTTTGACAAAACTTAAAATGACAAGAGGGATATAAAAACCAAAATCATCGAGAATAACGTTTTATGTGAATTATTTTGTTTTTTGTAATATTTGGTGATGTACCTCTAAAATCCATTAATGCAGTCTGAAAAACTTGCTTGGCACAGCTTATCGAAGTGTTACGCATATGAAACTGATACGATGTTATATCAGAGAAGAAGATGTGCAAACAATTCTGTCTCATTGTTCCAATTTATGCGCTGCGCGATAGCGTAAATGAAATCTCTAACAGTGAATTTTTTTTAATTATAATCTTATGATAATAACTTCTCCAAAGTTCATCCAAACATCAACCACTATAAATGATGAACTCTGTGCAATCAAAGATTTTCCATAGTAAATATTTGCCATTTTATCGATGTAATATAGATTACACTTTTCACTTGATTTTAGTTTAAACTTACTTTGTTTTTACTTTTACTTTGCGTGTTGATCATGTTTTATACGTAGATAAAAGATGAAAGATGAAAGATGAAAGATGAAAGATGAAAGATGAAAGATGAAAGATAAATTTAATCATTTGAACTCGAGAGGCGATTTCCAATCGCCATCTTGTTTCATGCAGTAAAGTTAGAAAAATTGATATTCAGTACTAAATACTGTATTATTATATAAAACGTTAAAATAAAATAGTACCTTAAAGTATAAGCATAGACTATCGTTTTCTAACTTTACTGCATGAAACATGGTGGGGATTGACAGCTGCTTCATGAATATAATTGGTCAAATGTATCTTTTAATTGTCGAAAACGTTGCGGCAGTGAAAATGTATTCACATATAATTCACATTCTGCATAATTTACAGAAGATATTATCTACCTAGCTATAGAATGTAATCTGCAGAAATTGCCTTCTATGCATAGAGAATTATCAACGCAAAACATTATCTGCAGAACACGATCTGTTTGCTAATAACGTTATTGCTACATCGCATTTACAAACATTATCAATTCAAATTCGTCGACAATCTTAAAGTAACATTCAAATAGGATAGAATTTCAGCTGTAATAGGCCTTAAGGGTTGAATACGCGATAAAGCTGAAAAGGATCCGGATTTCATTCATATGGCCGGGGAGTGTGCCAGCTATTCCTCCGTTTAATACTTCAACAGGTTGACCACAATATTTAGCATTTACTTGCAGCCTAGGTCAGTTTTGTTTGCGCGGTAAATGAAACCAGATATTTCCGCGCCCGCCGCAGCCATACGACCTAATCAAGCAAATAACTGTGTTGATTCTGCGCAAGGTTACTTTGCACAACTCACTTTCCTCGTTTTACACAACTAGTTTCCCCCTTTAAGCCCCCTAAGCGTCCCACCCTCAACTAGTGCAGTCGCGGTAGCGGTTCGTAATCGAACTGTCAAACAACCGGCGAACCAACAGATTCTCATGCCGTGGCACTGTCTTACGAAACGAGGTCTTCGTGTTCGTGCGGGGTCGGGCCGCCGTGTTATTAAACCGCGATTAACCGATGGACGGAAACGAAGCGACGTATTTTATATAGCGGCGCGGCGGTATGAAATTATTTCGTCGTTTAATTAATCCACATTTTAACCCGGACCGCATTATCAAATAAAGTTGAATTAGCTCCGCGGTTGGTAGATATTGAATTTCTGTGAAAATAAGATTAACTCATTCTCCTATTATTTCAATGTATATTATCTCATTGCGTACTGGTAACGAGAAATCTTGTTTTTTTTATAAAGACACTTAGCTATGCAACCTTGCTATTTACCACAGCATTAAAAAAAATATTAAATTTATTCGAATTCATTATCTATTTAAAATATATTGCATAACAATATGATATCTGAATTTTTATATGTATAGTCATATAAGTTGATCTCATTGAAAATTGTCATTCGCACAATTCAGTTTTCTGAAAATTAGTCGGTACGCAATGTATTATTTAAGCATGTACGCACCTGTATTAATTAAGTTAATCTATTCAGAGTTTCTAATCTCAATTAACAAATTCTATGATTTCAATGTATATTATTTATGCATGTATGCACCTATATTAATTAAGTTAATGCATTCAGAGTTTCTAACCTCAATTAACAAATTCTATGATTTCAATGTATATTATTTATGCATGTATGCACCTGTATTAATTAAGTTAATGCATTCAGAGTTTCTAACCTCAATTAACAAATCCCTTATTGTCCATGAAATGTATATATCACCTAGTTAGTATAATATTTCAAGAATATCGGAAAACGAGTGATGAAGTTATCTATACTAAAAATTTCCTTCTTACTTAGAGTGGTAATGAATATTTACCAATGAAATTTCTGCCTTGTATACTTCTGTTAATGGCAGAATCTAGTAGCTTTAGAAAATCTGTGTAATTAAATATTATCCTTCTTGGAAACTTTTACAAGCGAGTAACTTAACGAAATAAATACCAAAGGGAAAATTATTCTTAAAAACATTGAATCCTTCAACGTTACCCTGAAAAACCCCATAGAAACAAAAACTCGACAAGAATGTTCAAACACCGGGAAAACCTCTACCCGGCGAGTATCCAGCGAAGCATATGATATTAACTTGTTCCCCGCCATAATATGTACAACGCCGTGGCCGGCTTTTATTCATGAAACCACGTCCCCAGAAACAAATGAATTATTCTCGATCGCCACTTCGCTTATTGTTAATGCACGTCCTTGGAGGACCGTCAGATTGGACAGTGAAGACCATCTAACTTTTGTCGTGCATCGCCAGTTATCTCGGTTACATGGCCGTCCGTCGCACCCCGAATGGAAACTGGTGTGCGCTGCTGGTTGCTTCAACCTCTCGTCTCGGAATATTGAGTTGGTCCGAGATACGAAGTACCAATTGAATTTCATTAGTATTGATAGTGCTATTAGAATTCCTACTATTAGTTATTATATGATTATAAAATTCAAAAGAAATACATTGTCTTTCTGTTATATTTACATTCATTTTTGTCTTTTAGTTTTCTTTGTTACTTCCAATATTTTTTATTATTCAATATTAATCTTATAAACATTATTATTAAATTTTCATCGTCGTTTATAAGTACAGGTACGTTGCAATTGGTAAATTACTGATTTGTGCACATATAAAGTTTATATATTTAGTTAATTATTTACCAAAAATAAATCGCCTGTTTAAGTTTTCTTCTTAATTTAACGTCTTTCAGAATTCTCAGTATACGTACAACGGTGTAATATTTGATATATTTACGGAAATTGAAAAAGTATAGTCACCTAGGTCAAGTGAGTTAACAGCTCCTCCATTTTTAGGAGGGATATTTTAGTGCATACACATAACCGTATTTTGGAAAAATCGATTTTTTGAGCTGGCTGGGCGTAGGTAACCTCTTAGCCGTTGGTTCCGACATAACTTGGATATTTATCGGAATTCGAAGCAACAAAAATTGAACGTCACGTTACGCGTTCACAAAAATATTTCGCCTGTCCGCTTGATTCTTCGCCGTGCATGAAACGTGTTTCGATCCGAATACGTTTCAATTTTTCCATTTTAATTTTCTGCGAAAAACCTCTATGGTGTTCTTTCGTTAATATAATCCATTATTTACTATTAAAAAGTGATTTCCAAAACAACAGATGCATCAATATTTAAACGAATCAATTTTGATAAAATGTAAATGATAAATTGACGCAATTAATTAAAAAATAGAAAAGAGATGAAAGGATATATTTCATATTTCTGTTAAGAAAAAGTGCTTCGAGGGTTGACTTTGCTGAATGTACACTCCGGTAGAATATTTTTCGGTTGGACGTTATATAGAAGATGAAATATTAAATCGAGGTAATCTTGGTATTAAATTCCGAATTTTTATGCGTCACGCAGTAAATTAAACTATTTTACGGAGAATATACGTTGTGCGGTCGCATGGGTGACTTTTAATTTAAAAATGATATTAAATCTACCCGCGTTTAATTGAAGGTTCTCGAAAATAATATCAGTTTACGGATTTGATCGATGCTTCTTTAACGAAGACATCAAATCAAGTGAATTGTGATCGGAAAATAAAATTACGTTCTACAAATTTTTTGCTAATAGGTTACTTGCTGGTCATTGAATTCGAAAATTTGTTGTTGAAATTACCGTTTAAAATCATGTTAATAAAGATAATTATAACGACCAAACTCAGTTCTGTTTATCAAAATAGATTACAGTGCTTTTATTAATCCAAAAAATTAACTTTCATTAATTTTCGAAAAATTACACTTGACACTAATTTGTCATACTTAATCACATATTTAACCGTTTAGGTAACTTCTTCAACGATTTCTAATTTTTAATTTTCATATATCGTCACCGAGCAAACTAAATTTTCATTTAGTACCATTTTTATATTCACCCATCCCACAGCATAGTAATCGTATTCGTTACTCACGTGAAAGAACCAATAATAGCATTAATTTTATTTCAATATAGCGATACCACGTAAAAGGTACTAATTGCACGTGGAACAATAAAACGAGAAAAATGTAAAATAAAATATCGCATGAAGCATCAGCATCAGATAAATCGATATTCATCGATTGTGTATAACTTTTTATGCAGACTTATGTACGCTTTATCAACATTTTGTTCGTATATTTAATCGTCCTATGTAATTATTTCCAGAAGATCTTTAAACTCTATAAATCGTAACGGTCTGAATATACTTGCGGTATCCGGTCTTACCCGTCGCACCCCACAGTAGTTTAGTATGTAACTGACAATAAGAAGTTTGACACTAATTCGACACCCAGCCAGAAAAGTCGACAAACAATATGGTAAAGATTGACGAAGAATTACTGTAAAGTTTCACGTGAAAATCGGGTAAAAAGGGGCTAAGATGGTTGATATGTTAAAAGAACTGAATGGAGAGATTATCATGAAGCTAGCAACCATTTAGAAATGGGTGAAAAGATTTAACGAGGACCGAAAAAACGTGAAATTACAGTGACTAGTTATGAATTATTTCTTATACACATAAAAATTGCTGAAGCCACAAAAGTTTTTGAACAGCTACCTTTTCAATCTTTAATATTTAGTAGGTCCACCTTTGGTATGAATTATATCTTGTAACCGATTATGCATACTGTTTACTAACTGTTCTGTAACACTTGGTGATATAGAATTTCACACTTCCAAATATTTTTTCTTTTAAACTTAACTTGGATGTCATATTAAATTTTTGTAACTCTTTCCCTATTATTGTCCATAGATGTTCAATTGGGTTAATATCAGGGCTTTGTGGTGGTGTGACAAACATGTGGGGGGTATTATATATAATATGATCAATTCCTTAACAATTCATGCAGTATGTTTAAGATCATTATCGTGTTGAAAGTAAAAGTCTTCGTATATATCCAATTTTCTTGCACTTTCCTCTAAATTTTGTTGTAAAATGTTCAAATATTTGTACTTATCCATTGTTCCCTCTATGAAGACCAAATTCCCGGTGCCGTCTGCCGCCATATATTCCCAGATCATAACTGAGCTACTCACATGTTTCACTGTAGCACGTAAGTTTATCGCTTCCATCTCTGTATTTGCTTGTCTCCAAATAAAATTACGCCCGTTCGAACGAAAAACGCTGAACTTCGATTCATCTGAAAATATTATTTTATTCCAGAATACATTATCTTTACTAATAAATTCTTTGGCGTACTTTAATCTCTTCTTCTTACTAATATCACTAATGTACGACTTCTTTCTGGAAACCTTGACATGATAATTATTTTCACGTAGCACTCTTGTGCATAATTCTGGATGTACATCTTTCTCGAAGTTCTGTTTAACTACGTTACAAGTTTTGTAGCAGAAATTTTTGAATTTTTTTATATTTCACGTATCAAAGCTCTATCAGATTTCTATTTTTAATAATATAATGTATTGTAGATCTATTCATATTTAATAATTTATTTATTTCACCTTACGTCTTTCCTTCTTTATGCCACTTGACAATTCATTTCCTCTCACTTTCAAAGATTTCAGATATTTTGGGACATATGATCAATATCATAATATTACACTATGAATGCTAGACTGTGACTGACGAATGTATACACCACGACGATTAACGTTTCAATGTTTATATTCAGTACTTGGGAAACTGTGTTTTTATTGATTCTTGGAACTGATTTCTGTGTGTTCAAATACTTTCGTGGCTTCAGCAACGTTTATGTGTATAAGAAATAATTCATAACTATTATATATATCTATCGATTTTCTTAAAACTTTACCTACATAATCTATAGAGTCATACCTCCTTACAATGTTTATAATATTTTGGGATAATAGGGTACTATTATCCCGAACGAGTTCCCAAATTTGTAGGGTTGAGTCTTTGGATAACGGGGAGATTGATTCTGTATTAATACTTTCGCTGGTTATAATGTTAAATATATTATGACTGTAGTATCTAGAATTTTTAGCGTAGGTTAAGGTATTTTTAAGAAGAGTGAATGTAAGAATGAGTATGAGTGAAGGACAGGCTGTAAAACGGTCGAGGGAAAGTGGCCTACACAATGTCGCGGACCCAAGATTGCAGGGCCAGCTTTCTAGGGGTGCATCCGAGTGTTTGTGATGAGTACGAGTGAAAAGAATGCTTGTGGGGAGAGAATGATTTTTGGGAGAGAATGTCTGTGAAAGAGTTGCGGAAGCGGAGTCGTGTGTTGGCCTCCGTGGCATTGAATTGTACTTTTTACGTGTTGTCCATGTTGTTTCCATATTTTATTAAATACATATATTTATTCCTAGCTCTCGATTACTCAAGATCCACTCTTTCATTATCTATAATATAGTAACACTATATGACTTATATCTATACGCTTGCTGTTGATTTTTACCGCAAACACGCACCCAACCGCTCACTCGCTAATCGCACGCAAAAGTCTCGCGCCCACGTATTCCCACTTGCTTTTAAAGCACACTCCATCCGTTCTGTCTTTCTTCCACTTGCACCCTCCTCACTCGCGCCTTTCTTCCATAGCCAAAATTCACGCAGTCACGTACACGCTTTTCTCACGATTCATTCGCTCCGATCGAAACACTCTTCCTCGCATTCTTTCAGCCACTCAAGATATTCTAAACTCAGTCACTCTATTTCCCAAACATACCGGCGCCGGTTCGTCACAGCCATGGCCCAGTCGCCCGCATGCACGCACGCATAACCAACCACTCATCCTACATAATATGCTTATTATAATTAATAAAGTATTTCATGGTAAGAGTTCAAATACTTTCGTGAGTCACTGTAGATGTTAGAGAGGATAGATCCAAAGAAGACTTTCAACGCTACTTGGAGCAATGGAAACAACGTTGAAAAAATGCATAAATTCGCAAGGGGACTACTGTATAGGGGACACATAGATACCATAGAATTTGGGGAAAATTAATCCTTAGAGTACCAAACCTTGTTTTCTTTCGCTTTGGGTCAAAATTAAGTTAATGTGGGATAACCAAACATCGATTATTATAAAACGCCCGAATGAATGATCGAATTAGCTTTAAATCAAGTAAGTGACTAATTCCATCCCAATAAACTCCACTGATTGCATAAGCCCTACCTTTAAATCAAATAATTGACTAATTTCATAACTTCATAATTTTATAAAATAGACCCCAAAATACCATGAGAAGGGCCAGCTTATTTATCCAGTTAAAATGTTCAATCGCGCTGTGGGATGTATTATTCTATTGTTAGTCTAAGGTTTAAAACACCGAATTTGATTGACATAATTCTGCAAATTTTTTAGTGGAGCAGTTTCCGATTTTTCCAAAATCGTTTCCGATGACGGACATTCCAAATATGTATACAGACCCCCAACTGACCAGCGATTTCTTGTAAATCCCGAATCGCAATATTCGATTGAGGTTTCTGGCCGCACACGAACAGCGTTCAGTGGATTTAATTCCCACTAGCATTAATAGACGGAATGAGACAACCCCTTGCAGACTCGTGCACTATATCCACGCCCGTGTTACAAACAGAAAACAACTCAATCCATTACCATCCGTTAACATTCATTAGATACGTGACGCGAGAACACTTCGCAAATTTTCTTCGCAGAGACGATTATCGTATACTAATTCTCTTGCGTTTACAGCGCACAGTAAATATGTATGCTAACATTTTCGGGCGTCATTTGAAATTCATGAAAGAATTAATATGATGTTCAATTGATTTATTTGATTTAATTTCATTTTATAAAATTAAAGCTTCTCGATGTGATTTGAAATGTCATTTCGATCGAATCGTTACAACGTTATTACAACGTTTATTATAATGGGACTAGTCCCGGGCAGTTTTAGGGAGTAAAAAAAAACTGTAAGCATGCTTTTATAACCTTGCTGTTTTATTAAATTAGTATCGTTATTATTAAAATATTGAAAAGTTACTTATTTTCATGTCTAGATTTCTTACTGTGTAAGTATGGTATTTTTCAAGATATTAAGTTAGCATAAAATCATGTAAATCTATATGTCCTGTTGATTAAGTATTTAGAAAAGCAATCGCATCGTGACATTAGAGTGACTTTGAATAAAGAGAAGTGAACTGAAATTGAAACTTCTTGCAATCTGCAGCTGACGGAACTAACTTAGACATCCGCTTTAAGCGAAACAATCCACGTAGATTCGATTTTTCGTTCGCAAACTCGGAAAGTTTCCCTGATTCGAAGCTTCAGTCCTGTAAAATAAGATTTTCGACCGCGTTTCCATGAACGAAATTGATTTTTTATGTCGAAATATGTAAAATGTTCCTTTCCCCGTTTTCCTCTCACGAAGAAACTTTGAAATATGTTTTCAGCCACGAGTTTCGACCCGGTGTTTTTCGAAAAATGGTCGAACGTTGCCAAAGAACTCTGCGTTTGAAATTAAGACTAGCAGAAATGAAACGGAACCCAGGGCGGGCTCCAGATCACGATTAATCGAGTATGGAATTCATGAAATGGAATTTCTCCAGGGTTGTTTTTGATATTTTCGCCCGGTGAACTCAACAGTGCTCGTTGCAGGTGACAAATTCATTCTGAAATATTAAAACCTGAGTCCCATCGAGCACCCTTTCGCCTCTCTCACGAATCGATTGTTGCGACCCCGACGGAATTTCAGCGCTCAACGCCACTTTTAATTCGGAATATATTACCTCGGCGTCACGGAATCATCGATTTTAATGATTAATGAAAACGCGGGCAGAATTAGAGAGGAAAAGATTCGAAAACTAACAACTTATAAATAGCTTGGAAGACTGACAGCATAGCACAACGGCTATACACAAATAGCTTTTAAAATTGTCTTGAAGGTATTTCTAAGAAATTGTACAACTTGAAATATTTGGTCGTTGCTCACGCATTATACAGCTGTAGCCAAGAAAACCAGCTTACCTATAGTGACACTGTTAACTGTTTTATTGAATATAGTTTAGAACTAATATTCAAAGTATGAAATTAAATGATTCCATATTCGTATAAAATAAGATTATTTCATTTAATATATATAAATTAAAATTCATATACAAAGATTCCTTTTTCTCAGAAATGCTCAAATTAGTATCTCAATTATAACATAATGTACTTAAAATGTCCGTAAAACTTTTCGAGTTGCAAAGCTGTTTAGCGAAGGGGATTAAACGCAAGAATTTGTTAATTGCTTCCTAAGAGCAGTACACAAGAGAGGAGAAAGGTTATTTGTAAACTGCATTACTGCCGATGATTCGGGTCGCCGATTTATCAGATGAAAAATTCTATTTAACAAGTATTGAACCTTTTTAGAAAACAAATCAGCTTTCACAGAGACGTCTATAGAAACATGCAGACTCAACAACCATAAATATTGGATGGGAGAAAAAGTTTCGATGAGTTCTCAATGGATACCGCGGCCGACATTGTTTCGAAGAAACAATGGACAATCTTGTATGAGAGTTATACGTCTTTGACAAACGCAGTGCAGCTACATATTTGTCATTCAGAATAGAAATTCAAATAAAATCCACTATTAATGTCGACAGTCACCATTTTTGTAGAATGTACTAAATTGAATAATGTGTAATGTAATAATATCACGCAGTAGCATAAATGTAAATCTCTATTACTGTCAATAAATTACTCAAGTAATTAACATCATTCTTCTAAAAAATATTTGCCTTATGAAAAATACCAAACAATGAAATGTGATTTATCATATAATCATTTGCATTTCTCATTATATTTTACGATGTAATATATGGAACATACGAAACTACACGCTGCCAAATTTTCAATATAGTAGAACCTCGATTATTCGATTTAAGTGGGCGATTCACAATTGAAATAAATAAGAATTCGAGAAAAAATTTTTCAAACATATTCGCCAAATTCGATCTTATACATTCTGAGTATAACAATCCGATTAATCAGATATAATTTAACCAACACTCTGCACAATCTAGATCCCAGAAAATAGTGACTCGGCAAATAGAGGTTTCACTATACTTCACACAATTTGCACTTATAACGCAAAAGTATTAAGTGAAAAGTTTCGCCGCATTTTTAAATACCGTTTAAAGAAACATTTCACTTCGTTAAGTTGAACTTTATCACACTACGCATTTTACATTTTATTCGGAACGCTTTCTATTGCTTTTTAGTTTACTTTCTTTTAATATTTATTCGCACGTTATTATACAAACTCAGTCAAGAACGATTATGTTTTCATTATATAGACTTTCTAACCAATCTAATAAATAACTCGGTATCTGAAATTTCGGGTGACGCAAAAAGACGTCATTAGCAGTGCACGCATTAAAAATTAAATAATAGGGTACAGTCTTGATTCAAACTCACTCACGCAGAACTATGAAGGTCTCTGGAATACTTTTGTAACGGCGTTTCAGTGTTCGCCAAATAGTCGGCCTGCCAGAATCCCCTTCGTTAGGTGGCGCGTGTTTGCAGATTGCCGCGATTTTCAACGCGCGACACGAACTTATAATTACAAGCGCGAGAGAGTTGTAATAAAGGCCACGCAAGACGTCATGCTTTTGTAGGCGTTTCCCGTTCACGAGCGAGTA